AACTCTTAGTCTACATATATATAGTTGACTCTTCACTATTAATACAGAGCCCACTTTTCTCTTTCACAAAGTTTTTTTTATGTTCCTGTACCTAAGCCGACTGTAAGCTTACAGCCTGCTTCTCCTCTCTCATCTTCTCGTTCCTCCACATCAGCATACAGCCTGCTTATAGCTCTTTATTATACTTCTCTAACACGAAGGGATGCATGTGAACTGTAGGTCGGTAGCTGATGAATGCATGCCTGAATCCAAGAGAATGAAATAAAAAGGTCACAAGACTACAACAACTCAACAAAGGGTCAATGATCGAATTATAGACACCAGTAATTATTGTGCTAAACTTCTGCAATTCAATTCGACGAACGAACCCCTAGCAGCACAAACAACTTGCAGGACCAAGCTAGAGCTACTTCTTCTTCGCAGGCATTGGCGCCCCGTCGGCAACGGCGATGCTCTCCTCCTTCTCGGCTTCTCGCCCTCGTCGTCGTCATCGTGTCGAGCTCCTCGGCCACGAGCTCTATCTCCGCGTAGCCCTTGGCGCGGTACTGGCGGAGGATGTCGCCGGCGTCCCGGTCGTCGGACCTCTTCATGCTGGCGGCGATGCTGGCGTGGAAGGCGCGGAAGCCCGGGCGCAGGCGGTCGATGGATTCGGGGAAGTCGCGTAGAGCCCGACGACTAGGCACCTGCTCCTACCCAAAAACCCTACGAGGCTACGAGACAACATAGAAGCCAGGTCGCATAAACGAACCACCACTTGCAATCTGTTTTGTGCCTCCTGCATCCCATCCACGATATATTATGCATGCCTAGCTTCCTGCCTCGCCTTTCGCCATCCCTTTTAACGCGCATGGCACCTGCATTGTATGACCTTGTGGAGTGGTAGAGTGTTTCTACTCAGCCTAGGAAAGGTCAAAGATCTGGGCATTGGCCCGTTCCCTCAAGGCCCAAGATCACACCTTTTATAGTTTCCAACAACAACGAGACGGCACATGTTAGCAAAAGTGCTATGACATCGCCCATCTGGAGAAGGTTCGGCGGATGCAAAGTAGTAAATTAACCTATGTTCATCATCTAATCTAATAATAATAATTCGGACGAGGCGATGCAACTTTTTTCATACCACATATATATATATATATATATATATATATATATATATATATATATATATATATATATATATATATATATATATATATATATATATATATATATATATATATAAACGGTAATGCCACGTTTAGAGCATCCAGACGCAGAGAGTCTCTTCGAACCCTATGTGGCCTCACTTTGTCCACGTATTCTATCCACCACACGTGAAAATATTTGATACCTCCCCTTCAAATGGCCACTTAGACTTATCCTTTTCCGTTTCATCTTGTCTCTCTCTCCTCCATGTCTCCATGAAATCACAGAGCACCACCGATGTGTCCTTCCTCCGCCCAAGCCGACTCCCTCCTCCTCAGTTTGTGCAACGCCTCCTTGGCCTCTTCCCCAACCCTGGCACTGACGGGATGCCTCGCCGCTGCGGGCTGCCACCCCTGCCTCTAGCCGATGGTCGTTGGGCGCACGTGTTGGGGTGCCTCAGGTCAACCCCGGTCGAGCCAAGGGCACTCACGAGTGTGGGCCGGTGCTGCTGGTTCTCGTGCGTCGCCGCTCGCCGCCGTCTCCCGCCACGGCGGCCAGAATCGACCAGCCCCGGTCTCCCCCTCCCTTATGTTGCAAATGTACATTTCAAGTGTTTCAGATGTTTTAGTGGTATGTTACAAATGTTTCATATGGATGTTGCAAAAGTAGATCGGTACGTTGCACATGTTGCAAGTGTTTCAGAGGTATTTGCAAGAGTTTGTTCAAAATATTTCATCTGTTTTCAGCCTTTGTTACAGCAAGTGTTTTCATGTTGTAAGTGTTTTTTATCTCGATGTTACATATATTTCATACATATATTGTAAATGTATGTTTCAAATATTTCATCTGTTTCAGATGTATGTTGCATTCAAGTGTTTCACGTTGCAAGTATTTGATATTGTTCAGAGATCACGGGGGCGCGGTGAGTGATGAGCGCACGGCCTGGGCACCAGGGGATGGGGGCGCGGCGAGCCAAGGGCCTGCGGACGGGGCGCACTGGGGGCTGGCGGTGTGGGGTGCGTGCGTTGCGGGGCGACGGACGGGGGCGGGCTGTTCTAAAGTCCCGTTGTTTCTTACGCGCGCAGCAGGCGTCCGATGGTAGCGCCCCGGAACAGACGTACGCGCTAGCAAGTCCGATAGATAAAAGCCAACAAGTTATTACTGTAAACAGCGCTAGCAAGTCCGATAAATAAAAGCCAACAAGTTATTACTGTAAACAAGCTAAGTAGTGAAGGCAATTCCGTCCACGGACACAGCTGCTATGTTGAGATCTCCATGCGTGTAGCTTTGCTAATACTGACATATTATGGACTTTATTGATTGATTGATAGCACTATGGACAACCCATATCAGAACGAAGGGACGATTACTGAATAATTCCAATATAACCTGCTAATATAACTGGTTGCTGCATCGCAGGCAAGAACGAGAACAGACAGTATCTAATACGTACTCCGACTCACGGCTGGATCCAATCCACATGACCAGAATGCATTACACCAGCAATTACAATAATAATTAATTGTACAAAACCTGTAAATTGGACGCACAATGGCATTGACCTCTAAGCTAGCTAGCTACTTCCGGCGTTGACGACCTCCGATCCATCCACCTCCTCGACGGCAATGCCGCCATTGCCCTCCTCGTCGTCGCTGAGCTCCTTCGGCAGGAGCTCCACCTCCGAGTATCCCTTGGCGCGGTACTGGCGGAGGATGTCGGCGTCCCGCTCGTCGGACCTCTTCAGCATGGCGGCGATTCTGGCGAGCTTGTCCCGCGACCCCGGGCACAGCCGGTCGATGGATTCGGGAAGTTCAGGGAAAGGCCGGCTAGGCGGGAGCCGCTCCGCCTGCTTGAGCATGAAGTCGATGGTCTCCCTGGTCCACCCTCACCCGCCTCGTCGCCGGCTTGTTGTTGGCCTCGCCGCCCACCGTCGTCTTCTTCGTCATGATGGCCTCGTCCCCTTCCTTCTTCCTCTGCTGCATATCGTTATATATCGTCGCCGCGAGACGATCTCAGTTTCGCTCTGATTGATGTTTGATCTGAAGAAAGAAACTCGGTCGATCGAGATTGCCTTTTTGCAGCGGCCCCCGATATTTATTTGTTGCCCTTAAATCTTGATCCTGATGAAACTAAAACCTTGGCGCGGAGACTTCTCTAATCAGCGGGGCCAGGAGATTTCGTGTCACGGTGTCAGGAGTGGACTCAGGAGAGGGGCCAGATCGATCGGTGCGTGGTTGGGCCGGGCTCGACAGGCCGGCTAGCAGGACCATTGCGGCATTGCGATGCAGTGAAGCCCAAATAAAGCTGACTTGCGTTGGGCTGCCTGTATATAGATGAGAGGAAAAAAGGAAGATAAGGGAAACAAGCTTCCTAGCACCCGGAGACGAGACGTCCGGACGCCCGCGCCTCAATCCTTTTTTTGCACCGTTTTACGCACTCACATAGGACCCGCGCCACTCCGAGCATCACCAGCATCAAGAAGAGAGTGAGGAGGCAGCGGATGCCCAGTCGGTGCCTGGAGGGGGAGGAGACACTGAGGCGAGATAACAGAAGACGAGAAGGGAGATGCAACACCCGATTTATTTTTAAAATATTCAGATGCAATACTTGTATCATATGTCTATAGGCAGATGAAACACTTGAAACATGAATCTAAAACACCTGCTAAAACACTTAAAACCATTGCAAAAATATGCGCAACATCCAGATAAAACACTTACAACACATATGTGTGAAACATATGCGACATCCAGATAAACACATTTGCAACATACGTCTAAAAACATAGATGCAACATTGGGAACAAAGCTTGCAACATACGTGTACAACCATTGCAACACATATGCAATATCTCGATCTACCTTTAAAACATCCATATGAAACACTTGCAATGTACCTCTGAAACATCTGAAACACTTTAAGCAGACCCTTGCAACATGCGCTTTCAAGGGCAACATATACTTGCTGCTTGGACAAAAATGGAGGCTCGTCGACATGGAGCTCGATGCCAGCATGGAGCTCGATGCTACGGAGTGATGCAGAGGTCCCCGATGTGCATTGTGGAGCTTGGCGGCGGCACGGACCTTGGCAGGGGCCATGACAGGCTGATGGAGCGTGGTCGCAACGAGAGGTGCAAGTCCAGGCAGGGGCGCACAACGCGGCGCGAGCGAGGGCTGCGCTCACGAGGACAGGGTCTATCACGTAAGCAGAGACAGGCAACATGCAGAGCGAGTGGGTGACTGTCACGAACAGGCCTCCGGTTGTGCTTAGATATGGGCTACACTAGCTGTACCGGCCTGTAAGTCGACCTGCGAGCCACAAGGGTGTATCTACTAGGCTTGGCCCATTTTTTCGTGACTCCAAACTTAAACTCGCCGTGTGGGGGATGGGTGGACAGCAAAGAACAAACCTAAAATTCCCTAACTCTTCTTCCTTCTCGTGCAATCCTGCTTCAGAGGTGGCGCCGCCGTGTGAATACGTCGGCAAAACATTCTAGTTATCTCTAGGTCGTGATATTTGGTACCAGAGCCTTCCGATCCATCGCTGATACTGGGTTCGTAAAATTCCGTCGTCGACGGTTGAATCCAGAGCCATCGTGCGATCAATACACCGAATCCCCCACCTCCACCGCCGCCTAATCCGTCCTCGCCGCCGTTCAATTCATCCACCACCTCCTTCCCCTACCTCCACCATCTCCGATTCCACTACGCCAGTAAGTTTTCCACCCTACCCATCCATTTTCCTTCCACCCCAACCACTTCGCCATCCATTCTCCGATCGATTCCTAACTTCCGGTCGATCCGCCACCACCTCCATCCCAGTTACCCCACTCGCTGGCGCACAAAATCAAACCACCAACCCTCACCTCCTGAATGGCAACCGCAGAGGAAAAACTCGACGCGCTCGATGCGCAGATGAAGTCCATGCTCCTGCTCATGGAGACCTTCAATCGTTGGTGTCCTGAGGTCGATCACTTCTCCACCGAGCTAACCAAGGAGATCAAGACTCTCACGTCGCGCGTGGAGGCGTTGGAAGCGAACAACGCTCCGTCATCGGCCCCGAAGCGCGAGGAAGAGGGGCGGGCCATGGGCCACGGCGCTGCAACATCACCACAGGGGAATGATGGGGGGACTCTGATCCTCACTCATCCCCTAGCCAATGGTCAATCATCCACCCCCAATTCTCCAATTCATTATCATACTACGCCTACACACAATGAAGGTCGTTTGCCTAAGGCCCAGTTTCCCAAATTTGATGGGTCTCATCCAAAAGTCTGGAAAGAAAAAGCAGAAAAATACTTTGACATGTTCAATGTCCCGGTGCATCACTGGGCTTAGTATGGCACCCTCCATTTCAAAGGGCATGCTGCTTTATGGTTACAAACCTATGAACCACAGCATAGGGTGGATAAATGGGTTGAAGTCTGTATTGCCATTGAGTCTAAATTTGGCAAAGATCTCTATCACAACTCTAGGCTGGAACTACTAAGCATTAAGCAAACCTCTGATGTTCAGGACTATTATGATAGATTCCAAATTGTCATGCATAAAGTGCTGGTACATAACAATCATTTAGATGATGTTATCTTTGTTAGCAAATTTCTCTAAGGATTGCATCCTGACATAAGAGCTGCTATTGTTTTACATATGTCGAGAATAGTTGATGTGGCTTTATCACTGGCTCTAATGCAGGCCGACGTGTTGGAATCTCAACCCAAGCATTTTGGCAAGCGTCATTATCATGACTGCAACAAGTATCAAGGCAAGCCACCTCAAGCAGCACTACCTGGTGTTCTGGGCGCCCCACTAGCCGAAGAAGCTAAACCCAAGTGGGAAGACAAATGGACCACGCTCAGAGCTCAGCACCGTGCCCAAGGCTTATGCATGAAGTGTGGAGAGAAATGGGGCAGGAATCTTAAGGGTCTAGAGGGAGTTAAGGACAAACTATCTAGCTGTCACAAGCTGAAAGCAAGGAAACTTAAGGGTCTGCTCAAGAAAGGGGAGTAGCTCAAATGATTCATCTAAGTCAAACCCAACCCAACCCACCCACTGAATCCATTCCTGCACCAATCTAGACTCTGGTTGATAGCCATGCCCACCTTTTCAAAGAACCTGATTCCCTTCCACCACCACGAGCGTTTGATCACCACATCCAATTACTTCCAGGTGTCAAACCTGTAAACATAAAGCCTTATAGATATTCACCTTCCCAGAAAGATGAAATTGAGCGCCAAATCCAGAAAATGCTAACCAATGGAATTATCAAACCCAGTCATAGCCCCTTTGCCACCCTAGTTATTTTGGTGAAGAAGAAAGATGACAGCTGATGTTTCTGTGTGGATTATAGGCAGCTGAACAACATCACTATGAAGGACAAGTATCCCCTCCTAGTGGTTGACGAACTCTTGGATGAACTCAATGGAGCAGCCTGGTTCACAAAACTGGATATGCGCTTTGGCTATCATCAAATCAGACTGTAACCAGCTGATGAAGAGAAAACATCATTTAAAACTCATAGTGGACATTGGGAATTTCGGGTGATGCCCTTTGGGCTCACCAACGCTCTTGCAACATTTCAAGCTCTAATGAACACCATTTTCAAGCCTCTGCTTCGCAAGTGTGTACTGATATTTATGGATGACATCTTGATCTACAGTCCAACGCTCGAAGCCCACTTAGAATATTTGCAAGAGGTTTTCAATATCCTCCAGCAGCACCAGTTCTTACTCAAGAGATCCAAGTGCTCATTTGCCCAATAGAATTTGGAGTATTTGGGACACATCATCAGTGCCCAAGGAGTGGCCACAGACCCTAAGAAAATTGAAGCAGTGGCCACTTGGCCCACTCCAACAGATCTCAAGTAGATACGGGGTTTCCTCGAGTTATCAGGTTACTACCGCAAATTTATCAAGAATAATGGCTTGATCAGTAGACCATTAACTGATCTTCTCAAGAAGGATGTTCTCTTTCATTAGACCCCCCAACTACAAGCGAGTTTTGATGCTCTCAAGCGGGCCTTGATCTCTGCCCCTGTCCTGGTGTTACCAAATTTCAATAAGCCATTTACAATCGAGACAGATGCTTCCTCCACAGGCATTGGTGTTGTGCTTTCCTAGGACAACCACCCTGTGGCTTATATTAGCAAGGCACTTGGACCCAAAGCTCAAGGACTATCTACATACGAAAAAGAATACATGGCAGTAATCTTGGCAGTTACCAAATGGAAATCTTATTTGCAACACAAAGAGTTCACTATAGCCACTGATCATAAAAGTCTGATCCACTTGGGAGAACAAAAGCTACAAGAAGGGATGCAGCACAAAGCCTTCCTCAAGCTTCTTGGTCTGCAATACAAGATATTGTACAAGAAAGGGTTAGAAAACAAGGCTGCTGATGCCTTATCCTGGCAAGCTGAACCTAGCACAGTTGTAGCCATATTTACCAGTACACCCAAATGGCTGGAGATCATAGTGGAAGGTTATACCAAGGACGATCAAACCAAGCAACTGCTCACAGAACTCAGCATTACTGGGTCAAATGATAAAGGCTTCTCACTATCTGATGGTCTCATCAAGCATAAAAACTGAATTTGGCTCGGCAATCACATAGAAGCACACCGGGCAGTGTTACTGGCACTCCATTCTAGTGGCCTAGGAGGACACAGTGGTATTACTGCCACTTATCACAAGGTTCGGGCCCTGTTTGCCTGGCCCAATTTGAAGCAGTCTGTCACTGCCTACGTCAACGCTTGCGAGGTATGTGCCTAGGCTAAACCTGAACATTGTCGTTTGTCGGGTTTATTGCAACCATTGCCTGTCCCCCAACATGCTTGGCACACTGTCAGCTTGATTTCATAGAAGGTCTACCCAAGTCCAAGCACTTTGATACTATCCTGGTGGTTGTCGACAAACTAACCAAATATGCCCACTTTATATGTCTCAGCCATCCATACACTGCCCTCTCTGTTGCTCAAACCTTCATTTCCAATGTCTACAAATTACACGGCATGCCATCTGTGATCATCTCAGATAGAGATCGCATCTTCACCAGTGCCCTATGGCAAGAGCTCTTCAAATTTACTGACACTACACTCAACATGAGCTCGGCCTATCATCCACAGGCCGACGGTCAAACGGAATGCTTGAACCAGTGCCTAGAAACCTATCTTCGTTGCATGGTGCACTCCTGTCCTCACAAATGGGCTCAGTGGGTTCCTTTAGCTGAGTTTTGGTATAATACCACATGCCACTCTACCCATGGTCACACTCCCTTTGAGGCCTTATACGGGTACCCGCCTAAGCACTTTGGCATTACACTTACAGATGCTTGTTCAACTCCTGATTTGGAGGATTGGCTCCAGTCCCGTAATACAATGTTGCAGCATATCCAACACAATCTGGCTCGAGCCCAACAACGCATGAAACATCAAGCTGACAAGAATCATCAAGAAAGAACCTTCACTGTTGGTGATTGGGTGTATGTCAAGCTGCAACCCTACATCCAACAATCTGTTGCCCGTCGTACCAACCAGAAACTGAGCTACAAGTATTTCGGACCATATCTGGTGCTCCAAACTGTGGGTAAAGTTGCCTACAAGCTTCAGTTACCTGCTACTAGTCAAATTCATCTTGTTTTGCATGTTTCACAGTTAAAGAAGGCTCTACCTCCAAACACCACCCTGTCGACTGATGACGAGCTTCAACTTCTCAACATGCTGGAAGGGCTTCCACCGTCCCAGGTACTGGATGAGCGTCTTCATCTGGTGGGTCACCGGGTGGTGCCGGTGGTTTTGTTGCAACGTGAATCCTGTTCAGTGCATTGGGCTACCTGGGAGCATGTCACTTCTATACTGGCGTTGCTGCTTCAGTCTTCTCCTTCTGCATCGCGGTGGCGTGCTGCAACTTAAGGAGGGGGAGATGTCACGAACAGGCCTCCGGCTGTGCTTAGATATGGGCTACACTAGCTGTACCGGCCTGTAAGTCGGGCTGCGAGCCGCAAGGGTGTATCTACTGGGCTTGGCCCATTTCTTTCGTGACTCCGAACTTAAACTCGCTGTGTGGGAGGATGGGTGGACAACGAAGAACAAACCTAAAATTCCCTAACTCTTCTTCCATCTCGTGCAGTCCTGCTTCAGAGGCGGCGGCGCCGTGCTCCTCGCCGTGCGAGTACGCCGGCAAAACATTCTAGTTATCTCCAGATCGTGACAGCGACACGGGTGGAGGCGGCACGGGCAGGGTCTGTGCCGTGAGCAGGCTGGCGCAGGCTAGGTAGCATCCCCGTAAGGGAAAGTGAAGTCTGGCGTGACTCACTACTTTGACCGACGACCAGCCGTCGGTCTTTAGTAACCCGCGCGCGTGCTGCACTAAGATCTTAAAATCTACAGTATCGTTACATTAGTTTATAAAAAAAATCTGGGACAAATTTATTACCTAACATATCAGCTCTTGTTTCATCCTTTTCGTTACATCATAAATATATGTTTAGCTTTCACAACCTTCCATATTATTAGTTGTTGTAATTTTTTATCCATATTTTAAGTTGAAACACTAGTCCTTCTTGAATATATACTATTCGGAAGTTTCCTTTTATATTTTATTTTAAAAAAGGTTCATTTAGCCAAAATTGTAAACTTATTATCTAAAGTAAGAACTTAACAAAATTTGTTGTCGTTGAGTATTGATTTACAGTGAATTGTTAGTGTAGTTGGCATGTGGTTTGTTAAGGCAACATTTCTCTACTACGTACTAACAAAATACTAAATTAATATTTATCCTAATGTAAGTATTTTTACTTTATTTACCACATTACGCATACCACTTTATGCTTACTATTAAGAGTGGTACAAGTGTGCAATTTACTATTATATATACTGTACTTAATAGATTATATTGGTATTTATATATAGATTTGAGGGATATGTTAGTTTATTGTTTATAATGGTAGATTTGGGTAATTTATATGCAAACTAAAAGGGTCACTTTGTGTTATCTATCATAACGCCATATGTGGTTAATAAAGAAATAAATTTCGGTGTTACTTTGCATTATCTTTCATAGTAGTAGATATAGGCAATTTATATACAAATTTAGGGGTTATTTTAAAGTCATATTTTATAATGACGGACGTGAGTATTTTTCTAGAAAACAAGATAGATCCGGTGTCTCTTATTGGCAATGGTGATTAGAGTACCAAATTAAAGGTCAAATATTTGCAGTTTTGTGAGAACTTCTTGGATTCATCGTTTTTTCTAGGACCCCTCTAACTAGTAATGTAATACTGGATTAGGCAACCATAAAAGTTTGTTGACTGACATTTTCATCCAGTAAATGGTCGTCAAGGAAAATATTTTTTGGGGTTTAATTGATAGCATGAGTGCATGAGCGAAAGAGCCTCTAGCTGAGTTGGTTAGGTGGATTGAGTAGCACTCCTCGTGTCCTGAGTTCAACTCGGGAGCGAATTTTTGGCTGGTGTTAAAAAAAATACCTCTCATCGTCGCACGCCAAAGCACAGGTCTAAGATCTTGGATGGGATAAAAGGTCGTTCTCATATGGCTACGGTACCGTTGTGTATTGATGGGAAGACGCACTTCACTCAGAAATTAAGTACTCATCATCAGATTATGGGCGTCCATTCATTCCTAACAATTCTGCAATGTTGCTATAATGTGCAGTGTAGCTTAACACACAAGTCATAATAAGGCACCACAGCGCAAGTCCACAATGGATGGAGAGCGTGCATGCAATGCACGCATACATATGTAGCATATCTATATTCCCTCTTGATCCATACAGTATATATGTACCAAAGTCTTCTCCTAGTGGCTACTGGCAATCATGTGACAATACACATCATCGTTGTCACGAAGCTAGCTAGCAGTATAGGCATGCGCATCAGGAGATGGCGATGAGATTGTTCCCCAACCGAATCCAATCCAAACAGCAAGAATTCCAATAATGCATGCATGATGAGCAAGCCAATGGCGGATTGGTGATGCTATCATCTCTTTG